TAAGCAAACCAGCTGGAGGCACCGGCATTGGATAAGAGCAGAGCAGCAAAGAGGGGCCGGGCCATACAAGGTCGGATCAGGTGTCCTCTGGTTGCTGGGGTCAGTGCTGATACAGGGACTGTCGGATTTACATTCCTTTGGCAAAGTCTGGGCCAGATTTTAGGCTTCTGGATGTTTATTAAGTGCCTTCCTGGGCCATGTGCTATATTGCAGTCTGGGGAAATGGCCGTGCAGAAGCTAGGGTGGGAAAGTGGTCAACCAGATGATGAGGTTGTAGCAGTGTAGCCAGATGGCTGACAGCCATGGCGTGTGTGAGGGAGGAGAGCATAGCCTCACTCCAACTTGAAGAGGCAAAGATGCCCCCGGTGACCTGACGTCCAAGCTGGGATGGCTGGGCAAGTTGAGATGAGCAGATGAGGAGGAGATGTTAGTGTCCTAGGGCTGTCGTAGCAAGTAACAACAAACTGGGGTCCTTAAAACAACAGAAATTTATCTTCTCACAGTTCAGGGGGCCAGAAGTCCCAAATTAAGATGTCAGCAGGAAAAAACCCTATAATGAAATAGAATATGAAAAAGAATAAATATGTATTATATATGTAATTGAATCACTGTGTTATACACCAGAGATTAACACAACATTGTAAACCAACTATACTTCAATTAAGAGAAAGAAAAGATGTCATCAGGGGTTGTGCAATTGGAGGCTCTGATGTTTGCCAGCAGTCCTCGGTGTTCCTTGGCTTGTAGCTGCAGCCCTCTGGTCTCTGTCTCTGTCTTCACGTGGCTATCTGTGTGTATGTGTCTCCTCTACTCTTCTTACAAGGACACAAGTCATTGGATTTAGGGCCCAGCCAATCCAGTATGACCTCATCTTTTTAAAATATTTATTTATTTGTTTATTTGTTTATCTATCTATCATTGAAGTATATTCAGTTTACACTGTTGTGTTAATTTGTGGTGTACAGCATAGTGATACAGTTACATATACATATATACATACTCCTTTTCATATTCTTTTTCATTATAGGCTATTACAAGGTATTGAGTATAGTTCCCTGTGCTATACAGTAGAGCCTTATTGTTTATCTATTTTATGTATAGTAGTATCTGCAAATCCCAAACTCCCAATTTATCCCTCCTTTCTCCCCTCCCCGCCCCCTCCTCCTTAGTAATCATGTTTATTTTCTAAGCAGCGTGACCTCATCTTAATTATAACTGCGAAGACTCTTCCAGATCAGATCACTTTCTAAGGTTCTGGATGGACATGAATTTGGGGGGCATTGTTCCAACCACTGTAGGGAGTGAGTGACTGAGTGCTCTGCGCTGTGAAGCCATTGGGGAAGAGCTCAGAGCATCATGCTTTGGGGGAATGCTAATCACAGTGTGATTCAAGGACAAGATATGAGATGGGACTTGTGGAGGGGTGAGGCAGGAGAAGGAAGCAGACACTTCAGCACGAGGAGGCTTGGGTGCCAGGCTGGGGATCTGGACATTATTTTGAGAGTGGGGAGGGGAGCCAGAAAAGTGTTTTACGCTGGGGGAAGGGTGCGAAAGGATTTGCTTTGGGATGAAGGAATAGAGAGGCTGAGGGACTGAGGCTGGTATTTGTTGGTATTTGTGGAGCCAGACCTTTTCTCCAGATCTTTTATTGTCTTCTTTAATCCTTAGCTTAATTAACCCTTCACGTTGGGAACAATCAGCCCATTTTGTAGGTGAGCCTTTGTAGCACAAGGAGGTGAAATGTCTTAGCCAGCTTGTGGTGGCCAACAGCATGCAGGGAAGCAGGGACTCCCACGCTGGCCCGGGTGCCCCCAGACACCTGGTTGCCACATCCTGCCACTCTGCCCTTGGCATTGCCCACCTTCACCTTGGCCTGGCTCCACTGAGGGGTCCGAGACTCAGTGTCAGGAATAGAAGATGAGCGGGCTGATCCTAGTCTAGAGAGGCTTTAGTAGGGAAGGTTCCAGAAGAGATGGGAACACACATTCTTTCTCCTGTCTCTTTCCCACTTCCTGCCTGACAGCTTAGTGAAATCCTTAGACACAAAAGAAGAAGGTACAGCTAATTACCCGGAGACTTGTGTTGCTTGCAGGCTCGCAGACACCTACCCCTCAGTACCAGACTGGGACTTGTATTTCTGGGACTCGCTGCCACTTCTCCAACCTGACTTGTCTCGTCCAAATCAGATTTGGCGTCGGGTTGTCCCTGAGGCTGGCAGGACCTCAGCTTGCGCCCCCTCGAGCCTTGACCTCTCCTTAACTTGCTTTCTTAAAATTCATAGCCTTCTCTCTACATCCTCTTCTCCTTTCTGGGCTCCCTGCTCTCCCGGCAGCCTTTTATCTGCTGCCTGGATCTGTGTTTGCCCCTGGCCTGTAGACTCGGTGGACTGACACTCTAGTCCTGCTCACCCTTCCAGCAACAGCTCCTGCTTTTCCGTTTGCTTGTCCTTGATGAAGGAAGACTGCAAAGAAGACTGCAGAGAAGGGTAAGCCCTGCAGCAGTGGAGCAGAACCGCAGCCTGGACCAGTCCAGGTGGATGCAGATTCTAGTTGCTTCTTGGTTCTGAGTTACATCCGCTTTCCTTGGGTGGAACGTCCCACTAGGACAAAGGTGGCCACATAATTCTCTTGAGCTGCTTTATTTGTGCACAGCACCCATTTTTCCTTTCCTTCCTTTTGGTCTATAGAATCACTACGCTGTCAAAGAGCCACTGGCTGTGCAGTGAAGGACTGGGTTCACATCCCTGTTTTACCACATCCTAGCCTTTTGTGTTCAGTTGGACCCAGGATCCAAACCTGTGTGACTTCAAGCGAGTTACTTCGCCTCTCTGAACCACCTTTCCCTCCTTTCATTTATGGAGCAGAAACAATAATCCCTGTCACATAGGATTGTCTTGAAGAATAAATAAAAGAACATTAAGTAAAAGTAGTAAGGAGAGGGCCTGCTATTGTTTTTATCAAGTGGTGGTGTTCTTCATGCCTCCTTTTTCTGTTCACTCACCTCTCCTATTATCTCTTCCCTCCATACCTCCCCACCCCAGTCTCCTTCCTTTGTTATCGCTGATGCAAAAAGCTAATAATACCAAGTAATACCATGTCACACATGATTTCTAGATGCAGTGTGGTCTCTATTGTGTGTTTTTTGGTAGGGAAAAAGACATTTGTTCTTGTTTTTCTTAGGGCTCCAGAGGTGATAAACAACACACACACACACACACTCACACACACACACTTTACACAGAGTTAACAGATGGCACCCACCCCCACACACATATACGTAAGTACATATACTTGTAGCTTTATTTGGTTTGTATATTTGTTTTTGAGTTCCAACATCCAGAGACAACCTTCCTGGGGATCTAGCAGTGACTCACTGCTGGAGTCAAGACAGGGCTTGACTGCCAGCCATACCTGCATCCCTGGCCACCTCTTAGCCACTTACCCTCCTACTCCTTACCTCCATCCCCGTGGAGGTAATGAATTCTAGCCTAGTGAACTGAGGGACTTGCAGAGATGAAAGACGTGATCATTTTTTAAAGTATTCAGCGGGATAGCTGAATCATTTTAGTAAATAATCTGCTTCTTGGCCTAAACAAGTATCCTTAACAGCAGTCACTCCCCACCGAGATGATGTATTCAAGGTTAGTTAACATCTCTCATCTTTGCAAGATGTTATATAAGTCGTTTTCAGAAATCGTCCTTTCCTCCAATGAGATCATCATCAAGGAAACGCGATCAGCCACATGGGTGTGGTTGAAAGAATCCAGGCTTTAGAGCTAAAAATCCAAAATAAACAAACACACAAAAAGTGAGGCTCAGAGCTTGCTATGCTGCTCACCATCTGAGTTTCAGACTCTCTGGATTTCTTTGCCCCCCACCCCACCCCATACCAAGAGGGTGATCCTCCCCAGGTCTAAGGATTACACAGCAGGGACTCAGCACAGTGGCCTCAAATCTCCCAGGCAGAAGATATAATGAAGAGAAGCAAGGTAACTGAGGGTCTGCCCCTGTTCCTCGGAGATGCTTCTGGCACAGAGTGAAAGAAGGAGGGTGCGGAGAACGCAGACCTTCCACCTCAAGCCCTGGACAGGTGCTGTCAGAAGTACAGACGTGCTTTGGAAACACCCCCACCCTTGAGGAGTTCACAGAGCAGGCTATTTCATGAGTCTCATGAATCTTGTCAGATACGTCTGTAAACACCTTAACCTATTTCATTTTAATATATGTTGTGCAGATATAACCAAATATTTACCAGTTGAATGTATTAAAGGAAAACAAACCTCAGTATGCCTTAAATTCCTGATTAAGGGAGCCCTAGAAAGGCTCATTCATTCATTCATTCAACAAATATTAATGAAGCACCTTTGTCCCAGGTCCCCTGTTGGGAATCAAATTTTAAAAGACTAGTTTTTCTGATAATAAAAAAATGGATTATGTAGAAATTGTTTGCCTTAAAGTGCTATCATATATTCCCAGCAGAATGGAAGAAAGGCTACTGTCTCTTGATCTCTTGGTGGACTGATTTTAGAGATGAGGAAGCAAGGTTAAGAGGGTATGAGCAAATATCCTGGGGTCACTCTGCTGGTAGGAGGCGGAGTTGGGACTCAGACTCTTGTGTGAAGCCACAACCCTGACTTTTCCCAGTGTTTAGCAGTCTCCATTGCTCTGGCATGACCATTATCCATCTCAGTTGCTCCTCGTGGCAACCTTTTGAAGAAGGGAGGGCAGGGATTTTTACTCACCACCTTTATGCAAGTGATAAGCAAGGCTCAGAGAGGTGAAGCAGTTTCTCCAAGGTCACACAGTGTATTGGTGAGGAAGCCACATTTGGAAACTGTCTCTCTGGCTTCAAAGCATGGCTGGTGACTCCTTGAGGCTCCGAGAGCCAAACCTAAGGACCTAGGGATCGGGACTGAGTGTGGTGGGCTGGAAACCCCCCTCTGTCACTCCAGCCCCGGGGACAGTGACCCATTTGCTTGTCTTTCTTCCCTCCCGCTCCAGGGTGGCCTCATCGCGCTGTTGCTGCTGCTGCTGGTGTTCACGGTGGCACTCTACGCCCAGCGGCGCTGGCAGAAGCGTCGCCGCATCCCCCAGAAGAGCGCTAGCACAGAAGCCACTCACGAGATCCACTACATCCCCTCCGTGCTGCTGGGCCCCCAGGCCCGGGAAAGCTTCCGCTCCTCCCGGCTGCAGGCCCACAATTCCGTCATCGGCGTGCCCATCCGGGAGACCCCCATCCTGGACGACTATGACTACGAGGAGGAGGAGGACCTGCCCCGGCGGGCCAACCATGTCTCCCGGGAGGACGAGTTTGGCAGCCAGGTGACCCACACCCTGGACAGCCTGGGCCGACCAGGGGAAGAGAAAGGGGACTTCGAGAAGAAAGGTGAGTCTTCCCTGTTGTGTCCCACCTTCCAGGGGGCATTTCAGGAAACTGGGAAGAGGCGCAGGAGCTGGCGGTTGGGGACACAGGCGGTGTCTCCTGGGCTAAGCCGTTTTGGGTTTATGGCCAACTTCTGTTGGGTTTCCAGAATCTGTCTTCTCTGGCTCTTCAATGGAGGGGGAAAAAGTATCAGCGTTCTTGGAATTGGAGTTTTGAGGAGCGTCAGAAGTTATGTAGTCAAACGTCTCTCCAGTATCTCTTGATTACTTCCCTTGATGGCCTTCTCACAGCCCAGGAGAGAGTGCATCTCATTTCCAGGCACTACTCTATCAAAAGATGTTTCCTTATACTGAGTTGAAATCTGTTTCCCTGGCCCTTCACGTCCTCAAAGACAGTGAATCTGATTTTTCCTTCTCCAAGGCAGCTCTCAGGAAATTTGACAACAGGAAAAAACAAAAAAAGAGATGCCCTGTCACTTTGAAAAATCAACCTAAGTAAACAATCCCAGTCTTTTCAGCGAGTCTGATGTGATGTGTTTTTCAGACATTTCACCATTTTGGTCACTGTCCTCTAAATAGACGTCCTAATGTTTCATGCCCTGGAGTGTAACACCGGAACTGACACTTCTGTTCCTCAAGGTGGGATTGCCCCTGTGCTGAGCAAAATGTGGTTTTCACCTCCCTCTTGTCAGCTGTTACGCTTCTGCTGATGCAGCTTGAGACCACATTTGGGTTTTTGCAGCTATTGCTGGCTCATATTTGGCTTTTTGCTGACTGAAACCTCCCCCTCTTTTTCATATGTGCTATTGCAAAGACCTTGCTCTGGTGGAGGACAATTAATTATTTGGATGTAAGCACAGGGTGTGTTTACATTGATGTTTAGTAAGTGTCTATGGCTCCAGCTTGTTTATAGATGGGATTTGGCTATTTTTCCTTCAGATAAATGCTGCAAAAGTGCTGTCCTGTTTTGTTGTTGTTGTTGTTGTTTTCATATTGTCTTTGTGACACTGGTGATGATGATGGGTTAAAGGTTTGGTCTGGAGGTCCCAGTGTTAGAACTACTCTTTTTGAGCCGAGAGGAACCGTCACTGCTTGGCTCAGTCCTGGAGCTCTGAAATTTGCAGTCTTCTCTTCTACTTCTAAAATCCTTCATGTCAGATCCATCTTTCCATGATGCTCAGTGGGCAGAGGGGAACACTGGGGACTTCTTAGAAAGGGGAAATTTTTGTTAAGCTTAGAAACCCAGGGAGGGAAAAGAGTGATACAGCAGGAGGTAAGAGCACAGGTTTTGGAGTTGTCTGGACCAGGGTTCAAATCTCATCTCCTTTATTTACTAGATGACCTTGAAAAATGGGAATTTCAACCCTCCAAGCCTCAGATTCCTCATTGAAGGATTACATATAAAAACAAAATGTGTGCAAAATACCGAAGCCAGGGCCTGGCACCTGGTGAGTGTTGAATCCCTGAGAGCCGTTTCGGTCAACCTCAGGCCCTCGATCTCAGCTGGCTTCTGAGACTCCCTAATCCATTCCCCTGCAGTCTCCCTCTGAGTGCCCGCCGCCATGGTCTGCTCAGTGCCCGGGAACGCCTGCGTTATTTCCCTTGTCTGCCACGATCTCTTCTGCCTTTAAACTGTTGGTTTACTGACAGTCTCCTCAATTCTTTGCTTTCTCAAGCATTGTTTATCTTTTTTCCTGTGACTTCCCATCTTAGAACAAGACCAGCCTGCGTTTATTTCACCTCTTCACATCCCGTAATGCCTAGCACAGGGCCTCGCACGTAGAGAATGCCCAGTGAGTGTCAGGTAAGAAAGATGGCCCCGGAGAATAAGCATGTTTGGGAGCAGTGCCATCGGGCCAGAGCATCCTGTGTCTCGTCTGAAGCAGAAAATCACTTGGATAAGGCAGAACCCATCTTCCCATTTTCTCAGATTTGGGGTTTTGTAGCCCAATTTACTGAGCCTTACTGTCCTTATATGGAAAATGGGTGAATGAACAGCCAGTCTGCCCATGCCTTAGCTTTGCTGTGGAGATCAAATCATAAATGCACTGCAAACACCGTTTCCCTAGACTGGCATTTGTTTCCCACACCAGAATCTTCCCCAACCTAGCCATGGGGAGAGGGGTCCACTCCCTCCAGCTCCTGGAGCAGGCTGTGATTACTTTATCACTGTTCAGTAATAATCAGTTTCTCTTTCTGTCTCCTACATGATACTTGGAGATTTTTATTTATTTATTTTTATTGAAATATAATTCACATGTAACATTGTATTAGTTTCAGGTATGCAACGTAATGATTCAGTAATTGTCTATACTGAGAAATGATCACCGTGACGTCTAGTTAATATCCATCGCCTCCCATAGTTACAGTTTCTTTCTTGTGATGAGAACTTTTAAGATCTACTCTCTTAGCAACTTTCAAATATACAATAGAGTATTGTTAACTCTAGTCACCATGTTGTGCATTACATCCCCATGATTTATGAGACTTGGTGATTTTTGAGAGCAAGGGCTGTGTCTTTATCTTTGTCTCACTAGTGTCCAGCACAGTGGCTGGAGCTTAGTAAGTGCTCTGAAAATACCTGTTGACTGAATGATTAACAACACTCATCAGCCATTTGGTCGATTAGATAAATCCACTCTTTGGTCAGAGTCTAGAATTCTCAGTTCCAGGTCTCGAGCTATCTCACCATCCTCAAATCTAGGAATCAAAGGGTTAGCAGAGACCATTGGTAGTGATGACCAGAACCCAGCAGAGAGTAGCCACTGGTTGGGGGTGAAAACCCAGAAAGAGTCATAGATGACAGGTAAGTGACCGACAAGGAACAGAGACCAGAAGAAGCTAATACAGGCAGATTTTCTCCCTGCTTCACTGCCTCCAGCAAGCTCCAGATGGAGTACAGGAAACGTCTTCAAAACGGGGAAGCAGGTGGGGGAGGCAGGTCCCTTCCTTTCCCTCCCCTCCCCTCCCCTGGAAGGCAGTACAGTATGGCAGTAAAGACTCTGCAGTCAAGAGGTATGATAATACAGGATTAAGTTCCCCATCTAGCGTTACTAGCTCTGTGACCCTGATGAGTCACGTCTTCCTCTCCCATCGAAGGGGCATAATACTAGTATTCCACCTTGCAGTGTGGCTGAGAAACGTAATGAGGTAACCCGTGTAACTGGTCTGGTGCGCAGTAAACATTCAACACACATTTCTGTTACTGTTATTCATACTGTCAGTCTTCAAAGTTGTTACACTGTCCCAGAGGCCATGATAGACCCTGGAATAGAGGTGAGGAAAGCAGAACCTTTGCCCTTAAAGAGCATTACAGTAAACCTCCTGGGTGAAAAGAAGGGGTTGGGGTTTAGGCAACTGAAGCTGAAGCTCAGAAAGTCCTGGATCTCTCTGTGCCACACAGCAAAGATGTGGCAGAGTCCAGGTAAGTCCTAGCATCCTGGCCAGAAAGAACCTGTGCTACAGACAGCTGTCCTGCTCAGAATGGCCCACCGCGTCCCATTTCACTGGGGGTTGGGCCCTTCCAGGCCTTGTGTTCCTTAAAGGGAACACTCAGTTTTGCCATTTCAGCTGCTGTGCGTTTCAGTTGCTCATGTTCACAGAGGGTAGGGGCCTGACTCTTGCGTGACAGAGACAGCACAGGGGACAGACGCGTGCGGGATCCAGAGGATATAGAAGACTGACTCCCGAGAGGTAGAGGGACGTATTGTGGCCCCCCTCCCCAGGAGCCGCTCTGGGGTCTGCACGCCCTCAGGCGTCCCGCTGCATCCTGCCTTAAAGACGACCCCATCTGTTGTGTTTTCTTTCAAGCAGAGCTGTATCTAAACAGTGACAAAACCAGGCTCTTATTTTTTGAAATCTCCACATTAGATGAGGAGCATACAAAAGAAATCCAAAGTGAATGAATGGTGGATGCCTGAGGCCCAGTCCTTGCAAGGCAGCTTGATGAGTGGGAGTGAGCAGATGGACTTGGAACCCAGCTCTCGAGTTCACTGGCAGCATGGCCCTGGTGAACCTCTTAGCCATCTGCAGATGCATGCCTTTGTTTCTCCTGTTTTCATCTGTGTGCGTTTTTTTTTTTCATGTTCCTCTGAGTTGGCTTTAAAACAAAGTATAATTTGAAATAAAACCAACCATTTTATTTAATAGCGTATCCCAGCCACAGTTTGATCCAATAAGGGCAGGAAAGGAAGAAAGCCAGGCAAGAAGGAAGTAGAGGACCTGCTTTTCCTGACTGCAGTCTGGAAACCGGTCACCCCACCCGTGGGGAGGTGGCGGCTGGGGCTGTTCTTGCAGTCTTGTAGCCCCTGAGCGTCTGGTCCTCCTGCTGGACAGAAAAGGGATGATTCTGCTGGCAGATTGCAGAATGTAACAGCAGCAGCTCAGACCAAATGTGCTTTCTGTTGCTTCAGGTGGCCCTTGGAGAGAACCATGAGATTCTGTCTTTTACGGGGGAACCTGGGAACAGCTGTGCATTTTGTCCAGAGTGGGCAGGTGTCAGAGGCTGGGCAATGCAAATAAAAGTAATCCTGAAATACCTTTGAAATTACATTGCCAGGGGCTAGTCTCACCTGTGCATCTCACACTTAGAATTTGCCCATAGAGTCAAACTGCCTCATCAGACTTGAGCACTGTCACCCTGCTTTGCAGCTTGGGCCTGCAAATAGTAGAGGGGACAGTCTACAGTGCAAAGGGACAAAGTTTTATTAGCAAGAGACAACAGCTTGGGATCCCAGACCCCAGGAGCACTGTGCTGAACAGGCTGGTTTTCACTGATACACCCCCATGTGGAGCCACACCTTTAATTTCAGTTAAACACTGAAATTCTTCCATGCCAGTCGGCAAGAAGCTTGCCGGCCTAAGTACGCACCTCCCGGTGCCCTCCTGCTACCCGGTGAGTCCAACCCCTCCCAAGGACCCTCCTAAAGTCCCCACCATCCAGGGACAGGGTGGCTTTAGATGCTTCTCCAGGATTATGGCTGGCATTTCATCTTGCTGGTTAGT